AAGAAGTCGTGATGAGAAGGTTTATACTTGCAGACGGCCTTGTATCGCTGAAATCTTCTGAAACTGATTTACAGCGCTCTCTGAAAAGGTTCGTAGCAGAGCACGACAAGGACGGCATGCTCGTGAACGCAGGTAAAACAAAGACCCTGGTGCTTTCTCGCTCTCCTGCCTGTTGCTCTCGTCAGATTAACGGAGAGGCAATGGAACAGGTGGAGAAGTTAAGTACCCCGTAGTCGTATTTACTAGTGTTATAAAATTTAAGGAAGAGATCGACCGGCGGACCGGATAGCCAGTGGCGTTCTGCGTGGACTACCCGGAACTAATGTGACTAAAGCAGAGCTGAGTCTGAAGACTAAGCTCTGTGTTCACGTCGACCTCCATCTCCATGCTTATCTACGCTCGTGAGTCGTAAGCCATGACTGAATAATTTTGATCCCGGGTACCAACGGCTGAAATTGGCTTTCTGAGGCGAATCGCTGGGCTCACGCGTCTCGACATGTTCCGGGACTGCCATCCGAGACAGCGTTAGAGTGCAGCTGCTGCTTCTGCAGATTTAAAAGTCACAGCTGCGAGAGTTTGACCACGTCTTGCGAACGCTTCCAGAAACAAAGGTGCAGTAGATATAAACGTGCGCAATTTCTTCACTCGAAACCACAAACGAAATACAAAATGGCGCCTATCCTTCGTTTAAGCCACCTTATGCTCCAACGGAACGATTCCGGTGAAACTCAGATCTGTTAATTAACGCCACAAAATTAAACACTTGAAATTAATCTAATTAACATAATCTAAGAATCGGATCAAGTAACTTAGCACAGAAGGCAGTTGATCATCGTTTGACAGCGTCACCTTTGCCTCTATAAGTAAACGCAAAAATTTTTGCAGAAACGAACGAAACGAACGAAGTTTCAGCCGCACACCGATAAATTTCGACCTCATGCTTGTCGATGATCAATCAAATTGCGAAAGACAGAAAGGACACCCTAGTGCTGAAGCATTTAAAAAAATCTCAGTAACAACGCAACAAGCACTGAACGGTCGACGCACACCAGTACTGAAGGCAGAGTGGATGCAACATACCTAAGCATCGTTTAGTCCATGTGTACGGTAATGTATGGATGCCAATCGGCTGGAAGGTGGTAATGCCAGTGGTGATTGTAAATTGTGGCAGTACGCCGTGGCGATTTCGGTTCTTCCGTTGTTTTCTCGATACGAGAAACAGCACGAGCATCAAGCCGGGCGGGTGCTTGAGACGAAATGCGTTCAACGCCATCAGGACTTCGTGTGCGGCTGGGGCGCGGCTCTGATCGAGACCATCCTGACCTACCCGTTCAGCAAGTTGGTCGTTCGCCAACAGCTTCAGGGAATCCCGTTTCACGTCGCCGTCCATCAGCTGTACGGAGAAGGCTTGCGCAACGTCTATCGAGGACTTCTGCCTCCTCTTGTGCAGAGAACCAGTTCAAGGTATGAACCGTGAGGTGATAACGCACGTGACCACGTCCCGAACGACCAGTCTGCCCAGAAATTACCGCAGATTTCCCTCTCAAGTATTGTGCACAGTGGCTTGCTGGCTTCATGTGCCGTTTGGAGTTAAGCTCCGTGGAAGAAGCGCTTTGCGTATTCATTCGTTTCTTTACCCTGCCGTAAACATGTGTAGATAATGATATTCTACGTACAAAAATAATTTTTAAGTGTAAACGTTCCCCTCTTCTCTCCCCC